CGTTATACCCGCGATGTATGGATAGTCGGTGTAAACGATTGGGTTTATGAAGAATATTCTGCTCATATTCACAAATATTATGCACACAATCCGAGCAAATCATGTTTAAAGTCAAGTATTTATACAGTTTTTCGTTTACATTTAGGTCACGAATTGAGTGGAAATATGGTTTTATATAAACTATGTTTGAAATCAATTGAATCGATTCCAACGCAAACACAATAGACATAAAAAAGTTAAGTCTAAATGCATTTTATAATAAACTTGATTACTGACTAATTATGAAATGAACTAATTATTAAATAAAGATTTGAAAAAATATTTTGAAAAGTTTTTAACTCCAACACAACATTAGATTTTAATAAAATCATTTTATTATATAAATAAATATTTTGCTTTAAAGTGATATCATATTAAGAATAAATATTAATTGCATTAAGGCGGCGTGCACGAAGTACGTACGCAAAATTTTGGTCAAAAATTGACCCCCCTCCCCCCTACACGCCCATCGTACATAGGAATTTAACATGGTGACATACGCTTTGGCATGACCCCCCTCCCCCCTACCAGTGCGTATGTACTTTGTGCACGCCGCCTTAGAGATGAAAAGTGCGATAATAAAGTACACTATTCAGCAAAAGTGGCGTTAAATTCCTATGTACGATGGGCGTGTAGGGGGGAGGGGGGTCAATTTTTGACCAAAATTTTGCGTACGTACTTCGTGCACGCCGCCTTAATGCAATTAATATTTATTCTTAATATGATATCACTTTAAAGCAAAATATTTATTTATATAATAAAATGATTTTATTAAAATCTAATGTTGTGTTGGAGTTAAAAACTTTTCAAAATATTTTTTCAAATCTTTATTTAATAATTAGTTCATTTCATAATTAGTCAGTAATCAAGTTTATTATAAAATGCATTTAGACTTAACTTTTTTATGTCTATTGTGTTTGCGTTGGAATCGATTCAATTGATTTCAAACATAGTTTATATAAAACCATATTTCCACTCAATTCGTGACCTAAATGTAAACGAAAAACTGTATAAATACTTGACTTTAAACATGATTTGCTCGGATTGTGTGCATAATATTTGTGAATATGAGCAGAATATTCTTCATAAACCCAATCGTTTACACCGACTATCCATACATCGCGGGTATAACGCAAGCCTTTAATAACTACATGAACCGACATCAATGACCCTGCTTATGGACTAATTGTCAAATATGGTAAACAAGCAAAAATCCTGTTCGCAATGCTATTGTTATTTGTGTTGAAAAAGTACCTGTTTCATTTTGGTCTATATTTCTCATCGTATTCATCGCAAAATACGTGTATTTTCTTGAATACAAATCACATGTACAAGCAAAAATCCTGTTCGCAATGCTATTGTTATTTGTGTTGAAAAAGTACCTGTTTCATTTTGGTCTATATTTCTCATCGTATTCATTGCAAAATACGTGTATTTTCTTGAATACAAATCACATGTACTGTATTACCAAATGTTGTTTGTTATAATAGCTCTAAAAACGGTACTAAACCTAACCCTAACTTATATTAACGGAAACACCAGTAACTCTGACCATAACTGGGTGCTCACAACTATGGCTAGCATACAGTCCCCGACCGACACGGCCACTCACTTTGAAGCAATATAATTTGTATTTTTAATTCAATCACCTACCTAATCAATTATTGTTAATATTGTAATGCGCTATATACAGTAGTGGTAGTATAATATTTCGCTATACAGTATATAATTTTATTCATTTTACTGTACGATATAATGTGACTAGATAATGTTTTATATAACTGTTTACTTGAAAAGTCGATGAAATAAATGATTAAGGTACATATCAATACAAGTATATTCAATTATAGTTATTATAATCAACTAATAACTAACAATTTTTATTATTTAAATAACTGAGTATTTCCCGACTTGACTTGCCCTTATACTGTAAAAAATTTATATTTTTTTATTAGCTTTTGCTATTATCTCATTTTCACCTAGACACTTTCTATAACTGGATTATATATTATACTGTAAGAATTGAAGTATTAAATATGATATTTTGATTGCAATACATCTAGAAATATATGCATTATTAAATTACTTATATCTTGAACCACCATTAGCATATTAAATTACTTACCAATTTATTACAACTTTGTAAACAATTGTTTAAAATAATAATGTGTTAATAAATTAATATGTTAATAAGTAATATTTTTATAATAAATAATTGTAATTGGCCACATGTAAACCGTAAACCATATCGTACCGGAGCCATAATCACGACTAACTACTTGCCCACTGAGACCATCATCTATCAATTGGTTCAGTTGACATACAGGCGCCCAATGAGTTCATCCCTATTAAACCTATCGGAGTCGTAGAGCTCGAAGTTTAGTATATCGTCTCGATTGAGGAGCATCTGGTGCTCAAACATGTAGTTCCACGCAAGGGA